TGACATTCCAAACCTGCAAATGTCTGACCACCTTCCTGTAATATTTTCAATTATGGTTCATGGTTACTATTTCTTTGTTTTGGCTGCTTTAATGACCCTGAAATAAACCAATCCAGTTCCCATAACACTGAGGACCTGACAAACTTGTTCAACTCTACCTGTGAAGCTATTTAAGTATCTTAAATTAAGTATTAATCCGTATATTAATCATAGACCAAGCTCGTTGGTGCATGATCTTCTATCGCTTATATTAATATTTTATATTGATATATGATAGACGCTTCATATATTAACTAGTTTGTGTCATCCTAGTTTTAGCATTGAATAGCACAGTGTTAGAGCTGTGTGTGTGAGGTTTTGACCCCATTACACAGGAATTAAGAAATCTTCAACCAGGATTTGTTCTAACTAAATTTTTCATGAATCTTTAGGTATGAATGAAACACATTTAGACTAAAACTGTTAATTTACAGATAATGTATTACATTTCCACCTCAGTGGACAGCATACATGTTGGCTTGACTTCTAGAGTCCAATGGGAGGGCTCGAATGCAATAAAATCTTCAACAGCTGTGCTTGATAGCTAAAAAAAGGAAGCCACAATTTTCAATCAGTTCAGTCAGTTTTCTGAGAAGCTTTTTGCAGCAAGGCCTCGAAGCTGTGGTGTTAAAACCAACTCTGGATTCAGGTGGCTCTGTGTAGTTTAGATGTGATGCAGCAGCACACTGGGAGCCTCTAAGTTACAGCTGGGCAGAGTCAAACAGACCAGCCCTCTCCTCAGCAGGGTGCGTACCCTCAACTGGCCAGGATTAAAAGATATGCTAATTTGGTGCCATTAGCTCCACCAACAAACACCTCTTTGTTGACATCTGCACCTAAGCCTCCTCTTTAGTTTGTTATGAACAAAGTGGCTTTTGATGAGAACAGCTTCACATGGAACGGGCAGCACAAGCAAAAGAACTGAGCTGGTGAAACAAGGATGGAAGCAGCCAGAGCTTGATTTGTTTGTTCATTTCCTGTCAATGACCGAATTTTAGTGAAGAGCCAGCCTGGTTTTATTGCTCCTTCTCAGTTCTGCTTCTCGAAACCGTCAAAGTGAAGTTAAAGAGCACCACACCAATACTGAAGCTGGACTCTGAAGCTGCAGGCTCTGCAGTGATTATGTGACATAATCCTATCTGACTCATTAGATTACAGATGAGGATGATAACACATGTGCTTCCTGTTTCTGCAGTTGTTAGGCTGTGACGGTGGATTAGAACAGACTTGTGTTCTTCAAGAATTCAGGGTGAAGCTGAGTTCATGTAAAACACATTATACATTAATGAAGACATCTCAGAAGGTGAGATATAGAACATGTGCTGTGTCTTAATTCGTACCTTAAAGGTACGGTCGATGTTTTTATAAAAAGGCAATCAAACAAGCTACATTTTGAAAAATAACAGTTATAAAGGGAAAGCCTCTTTCCTGAGGCTTCTCACTGGAGTCACATAATCGGATGGTCACAGAAAATGGTACAACACCAGACGCAACTGTTGAACAACCCTTTTAACTCATACTTTTGACCCCTTGTTCTGCCATTAATATGCTTATATGTTATGAATAATCTACCGTGCTAGCTAATGTAGCATGCAGAGTTTTATGGTGAAAAAGGAGGCACTTTTCTGCTTTCTTGGTTTATTATCAAGGTTCTCCCTCGCTCCACTTTCTCCTCTAAAGCGTGCAACCTCTGCCCCATGTGTGATTTGTGCAAACAGAGAGGTGATGGATGGTCTGAGATCAGTTTGATGGTGAATCAGGAAGCAGTCATTAAGAACAGGACTTCACAACTGGATGAGGTGTTTCTGGGATTGTATATTTCAGAAGTGATAAAAATGTATATATATACAAAGGGTAAGTAAAAGTAGCAAAACAATTTTAGTCAGCCAGTGACTCAAGCATTATTTTACAAAGATTTTGTTTATTTTTGTAGAGATATGAAGGAAGTCCAGCCGGATGGGCTACATTTGCTGCTGGGGAAATTAGTGGTTTTAATGCCATGACATGTACAAGGCATTACATGTGTGTAAAGCTTTACACATCATTGAACTGTAATATGGTTGAAATATCCCTTTAAGGTCACTCATTTTATTTATATATATATTGAATTTTACATGTAGGTCAAAATTAGGAAAATTGCTCCATTTCTGTTTGGCTTCATAATGATTTATCTAACACTTGTACTGTAGGTTAGTATGTAACTTTGATAATTTAATAAATTATTGGAGCAGGTCCCTCATGTCCAGAAGTTTGTTTTGAAAGTTTGTATGTTTGTTAAAACTTTTTAAGTATTATGTGGGGCTCTGCAATGCTGTTGCTTTGGGCCCTGGCTAGATAGGCTGGGATCTTCATGCTCGGGGAGGATTTTGGGAGTGGGGGTGTCTATTTGGGCCAGTGGGGGAGCTGGCTTCCTGGAGGAGCTAGGCCCCCCAGCCATACCTTCCCACCCTCAGACATGTTCGTCCTCCTGCTCCTTCACATCAGTATACAAACATGCACATAGGGCCTTAGGTGGTGGGTAAGTCAGGGGGTGCGAGTATGGTTCCCATTTCCGCAGTCCCATGGTGGCATGCGTCCTAATTTTAATTTGCACATTTAACACTTCCACCAATTACATTCCATGTAAATGCACACATAGGGCCTTCGAAGAGCGCACACTCAGCGGCACCTGGTGGGGTGGGGGTGGGGGGGGGGGTCTCTCAGCCTCACTCCCAGTGCCAGTGCCCACTTCCAATTTTCAGCTGCACCTAGACACTGAGGGCTCTGTGGGGAAGTGGGGTTGTGTGGTGGTGTCAGCTGGTGTAGGCCAGATGATGCCCCCCCTCCCAAACCACAGTGACAGTGTGTCAAATGTGGAAAGCCAAGCAACTGGAAGACAAACTTCATCTACTGGAGGAAATTCATTTGCCTCATTTACCTTTTTTGCTCGTCTTAAAGCTGAAGCTGATCTGGCAGCTTTAATGGTGAAACAAAAATTAATGAAGCAAAAACATGAACTGGAAGAGGAAGAACAAAGACAGCAGAAAAGGAAAGAACAATTAACAATTGACGAGGAAATTGCTGCTCAAATGGCCAAATGATCTGTATTAAAAATAAGGAGCTCAGCGAGTGGAAAACAAGAACAAAGCTAATCTCAGATGGGATGAACTCCTATGTGGAAAAGACTAAAGACTATATGTTGAGTCCCACTGCAAAGTCGTTTGTCCCAGAAACAAAGAAATTAAAAGACCCTGAAAAGGAACAATGTGCACCTGCTGTAAGGCCTAAAGAACCCAGGGCAGCTCCCTCTAGACATTCTGCCCCTGTGTTTCTTGAAGGTCGTGGAGCTTCACAGAGGTTTCATTTTCATCGTTCTCAAGAAAGACCTCAAAATCAGCAACAGCCTCCCACTGACATGAATACCATTGCAGGAAATGAAGACCAGCATAAAATTCTGGATATCGTGAGAAAGCGGAATGAAATCACAACACATCTTATTCAACAACAGTGTATTTCTTCTTTACCACATGAGAAATTCCCATTTTTAATGGAGATCCATTGAAATATCATGTATTCATGAAAGCCTTTGAGAATGGAGTTGAAAGAAACACCAACAGTTTCAGTGACAGACTGTATTTCCTCGAACAGTATACAAGTGGACATCCAAAGGAGCTGGTTGAAAATTGTCAGCACCTAGATCTTGAAAGGCTACAATAAAGCTAAAGTACTGTTTCAACAGCAGTTTGGGTATGAACGGAAAATTGCTCATGCATATATGGAAATAATTTTCTCATGGTCTCCAATCAAAGCTGATGATGTCAAAGCCTTGGAGGAGTACAGCCTTTTTCTCAGAGGTTGCTCCATCGTGATTGAGGAAGTACAATATATGGATGAACTGGACATGCCAGCAGATATGATTTCAGTCATCAAAAAGCTTCCATACAAGCTCAGGGATAGATGGAGGACTGCAGCTTGTGAGCTTCAGGAGAGATGCAACCAGAGAGTGACCGTTATTGACATTGTGAATTTTATAGAGGCAAGTGAAAATCCTGACTGATCCGGTGTTTGGAAAGATTAAAGATGCTGCACAACCACTGAGTAAAGTTGCAAGCAAACCCAAAACACAATCTCATTTGAAAATAAAGGGAAGCAGTTTTGCCACCACTGTTGCACCTTTGGGGAGGAAAAATGTGCACAAAAGGGAGATGAGCATGACTGGACTGTGCAGAAAGGCTGTCTGTGGTGTGGAAGAAAACATGCATTGTCACTATGTTCGGAGTTTGGAAAGAATGTTCACAAAGAGAAGATTGGCTTCTTGAAAGACAAAGGTGTCTGTTTTGGCTGTTTATGTATTGGACATATCAGCAAAGATTGCAAAAAATAGATAACCTGCAAAGAATGTGGACTCAAGCATCCAACCATATTGCACATTGTTCCCAGACAAAATGCAAGTGATTCAAATCAGTCAGAAAGTGAACCAAAGGTTGCAGTTGACAACAAACTGGTGTCAAGCGGTCTCACTGGGGCTACTGATCAAGATTGTAAGCTTCCTATTGTTCCTGTTCAACTAAAGGTGGATAAAGGCAACATGACTGTTCATGCGTATGCATGTTTAGATCAAGGCAGTACAGCGGTCTTTTCTACAGATGCCTTAATGCATAAGCTTGGACTTACTGGAAGAAAGGGCCGAATACTCCTGAGGACAACAGGTTGTCAGCAGCTATGTGATAACAGGCTTGGAAGTGGCTGGCCTTGGACATGATAATTTTTGTCAGTTACCCAAGACTTACACACAAGAGCGCATGCCTGTTCACAAAGGAAATATTACCAAACAAACAGATTTGGTGAAATGACCTCATCTGAAAGAAGTTGAGCTCCCAGAGATGGATGCTGATGTGACGGCTTCCTCTTGTTGTCCGTCCAGGGTTATTGGAGTTGCCTCAAATCACCGCACACATACAATCAGGCCACAGACACAGGACTGTCCTTCAGAGCTTTTTACTGGCAGGATCTGATGTAAAAACAAGCACACAATAATACATCAGTGTGTGTGCGCTGCAACTGCATACAACGGTCTTTTTCAAAATATGCTCTAACAACACTTAAATATCTGTAACAAGTCCTATTGATATATTAATTAAAGGTTAAAATGACTTAAAGTGCAGAGCGGCTTCACAGTACACCTACCTCCACCAGCTTTCATTACTGCTTTGGTGGGAGGGGCTGTGAATGCGCCTGAAGGACCCGTTGCATGCAGTTGCGCCTAACCACCAGTAGGCGGCTCCAAAAACACAAACAATCACTGCACATTACTTTTGGTGAAATTCACATTTTCATCTCTGTTACACCCACCCCTGCTGAATTTCAGCCAAAATTATGAAAGTGCAAATACCATCACCATGACACAAAACCTCACATTACTCAACGTGGGTGTACACAGTTCAACTTAAACAGTATCCTCTATAAAGGATGAAGTGGCAAGGAAATGGCGCCCTATTCCCTACCAGCTCCTGGAAGCAGGATGCAGCCTACATCCTACATAACCCACGTGTAAAACAAAAAGAAGCCCCTAAACCAGGACTAGTACTAAGTTATGGTATATATCTATTATAAAATACAAAACACAGAACAAAGAACAAGATACAACTTGTTTAGAAAAGGGCATATTATTATACATGCCTCTACTGAAACATTTGAAAAACTGAATTAAAAACTGTCCATAAGCTGACCAGCATCGTCACTAATAGCCATGTTGGTCATCACCTGAATCAGCCTATTGACAGGCTTGACTGTCCTACCAACACGGGTTCTGACTGTGTGGACTGAGTCAGTGCCAATAGCAGACTGAGCAACCAGTGAAGTGTGTGAGAGAACACTCTGTCTATCAGCAGAGGGAACTAGCAAGGGATAAGGGTCATAGCCCGTCACACTAGGGGACAACAGAAGCCCCTCGTCTCCCTCCACTGCAGAGACCATCTCGCTGACGGAGTTGTTCATGTGAGCAGCATTACGGGATGCATCAGGTAAGGAGCTGACCCACTCTTGGGTTCTGATTCTTGAATCATTCTTTTCAACAACCGGTTCCGGTGTATCTGATGCAGTAGTAACATCAGATCCATCAGGTAAAAGGGCAGAAGAGTCGACAGACTGACTGGCTGTATCAAAGGGCAAGAAATTCACAAGCATCAAGAGGTTACGATGCACAACTCTGACCTGACCAGTGTTGGGATGCTGTATCTGATATGTGTGGGTTGTAGGATTCATGCCCACGACAGTAAACACTGTAGACTCCCAGCGGTCAGCAGTTTTACGCTTCCCTCTCTCCCGTTTGTTCGAGACTAGGACACGGTCTCCGACACCAATAGGTTTTCCTTTTGTGCGGCGGTTGTAGAGGCAGGCCTGCCGTTCCTGTTCCCTGTCGGCATGACTTAGAGCTATGGCCATGGCGTCCTGGAGATCTTTTGTCAGGGATAGCACATACTTGTCATAGCCACACAGTTCAGGATCTCTAAGAATGTTCTTAAAAAGCACATCAACAGGGAGGCGTGGCACTCTTCCATACATCAAATAAAAAGGGGCATAGCCTGTAGTCTCGTTGACTGTGCAATTGTACATGAAGGTTAATGTCTGAAGGTGTTTTGGCCAGTTCTGTTTTGCATCAGGTGGGAGAGCTCTTATCATGTTTCCCAGTGTTCTGTTGAAGCGTTCTGCGCTACCATTGCCCATCGGGTGGTAAGGGGTTGTATGGGATTTCCTCACACCCGCAACTTCCAACAGTTCCCTTATGAGCTGACTCTCAAAGGAGGGACCCTGGTCCGAATGTATCCTTTCAGGAAACCCGTATATACAGAAAAATTTGTCCCAAAGCTGCCTCGCCACCTGCTTTGCAGATTGGTCACGACAAGGAAAGGCCTGTGCAAGTCGTGTGAAATGGTCGGTCACAACCAACACGTCAACAGACTTGTTATTGGAGTCCTCTGCAGTCCAAAAATCAATGCACACGACCTCCAATGGTGAAGATGTTTTGATACTTTCAAGAGGTGCTCGACCTTCTGGATCAGGGGATTTGCCAATAACACACCGGGGACACTGGCGAACATAGTCTTTAACATCACGGTCAATGTGGGGCCAGAAGAACCTCTGACGAGCAATAGCCAAGCTCCTAAACTGCCCTTGATGACCAGCACTGTCATGAATCCCCTTGAGAACCTCAGCCTTTAGAGAATCAGGAACTACAAATTGGTGACGCCTCTTGTTGGTTACTGGGTTTTTAGAAAGTCTGTACAGGATTCCATTGGACATTGTAAACTTTTCCCAGTGTTTGAGGTACCTGGTGACCATGGCTTGCTCTTTGGGTTTCTCTCTTCTGGATGGGCGACGGCCACGGGCAACATAGTACAACACCCTTGATAGGACAGGGTCGTTTTGTTGTTTCTCACGCAACTCGGTTTCTGAAAAGACAGGTAGGTCATCCTGAACTGGAAGGATTAGCTGAGGTAGGTGTTCGAGGGTGTTAACAGCTCGTAGCCTAGCAGCAGATTCCCATGCACTTTGTGTTTCGAGAATAGCATGGACATCATCTTTTGTGAAGGACTGAAACTTTGTGCTGTTAGGGAGTTGCGACATGCTGGAGTGCTGGTCCTTGGCGTTCGACTGCCTAAAAGCCTCCTGGACTGAGCCAACTGAGACAGGGAGGGCCTCATTAAGGAGCTGGCTGTACGGTCTTTGCAACAGCTTCCTTACTACAGTCGACTTAATAAATGGCTCGCGACTTAAGGCATCCGCCACCAAATTCTTTGAGCCAGGGATATATTTAATGTCAAAGGCATAAGAAGCCAGCTTTGCCACCCATCGCTGTTCACAGGCATCCAAATGTGGCTTGGTGAGGATGTGCGTGAGTGGGTTGTTATCCGTCCACACTGTGAACATATGTCCTTTCAGCCAATGGCTGAATTTGTCACACACCGACCATTTGAGTGCCAAAAACTCAAGGCGATGGGCTGGATACTTTCTTTGAGCACGTGTGAGAGACTTGCTTGCAAATGCCACTGGCCGGGCCACACTCTCACCTTCCTGAACCTGTGATAGGACTGCACCCAAACCATCCAATGAGGCATCTGTAAACAGAACAAATGGGCGAGTGAAGTCTGGGTGGGCCAGAATTACTGAGTTGACCAAAGCTGCTTTAAGCTCCATGAATGCAGAATGGTGTTCATCTGTCCAGTCAGCTTTAGTCAATTTGCGAAGCACAAGCTTACGCTTGGTGGGTATCTTCAACTTGCGTTTCTGTTTTGCACCAGCAAGCAGATTAAAGAGTGGCCTGGCTACAGAGGAATAGTTGGGGATGAAATGCTGGTAGTAGTTAATCATGCCTAGAAACGAGCGAACACGAGATGGGGAAGGGGTGACGCCATCTGGTTCCATGAGATCTGCAGTTGACATGTTACTGATGGACTCAACTTTAGCGGGATCTGTGGATACACCAGACTCATTGATTATGTGTCCAAGAAACTTCACAGATCTTCTCATTAGCCAACATTTCTTTGGAGCAAGCTTCAGGTTGTGGAACCGCAGGCGGCCGAACACCATCTCCAACCTCTTGAAAGTCACCTCTTCAGAGGGGCCAAACACCAGCAAATCATCAAGGTAGCACAATAGACTGAGAAAGTTCTGGTCACCAAATATGGACATCATCATCCTCATGAAACTAGCTGGGCTGTTGCACAGTCCCTGGGGGAGCCTGTTGTATTCGTACAATCCCATGGGTGTTGTAAAGGCAGAGTATTTTCGGTCATCTTTGTGTAGTGGCATGTTGTAAAAACCAGATGTGAGGTCCATTGAGCAGAAGAATGTGTTCCCTCCCAAAGCAGCTAAGCAGTCTGCTTGATGTGGTAAGGGATGGGCATCCTTCAGTGTTCGCCTGTTGAGCCATCTGAAATCTGTGCAGATCCGCAAGTCACCATTCTTCTTCCAAACTAGAACGAGGGGTGAGGCAAACTCACTGGTGGATTTGCAGATTATTTCCTTCTCCTCCATTTCATTTAGGACTTGACGAAGCTTCTGGTATTCAGCAGGCGGCACACGGCGATAGGGCAACCGAAAGGGTCTCTCATCAGTGAGTTGAATCCTGTGCACAAACCCTTTTGCCTCTCCGCAGTCTAAGTGGTGGCGGGAGAACACATCCTCATAGCTGATCACAAGGTCAGCCAGCTTTCTCCGCCAACCATCTGACACGTCACAAGACTGCAGGTCCAGATCACCCAGACCAACACTTTTCAGTCTCTCCTGCACACAGTCATTGTTTTCCGCTGTAGGATCAACAGTGCTTTTTACAGTGGTAGCTTGATATGAGCATGTTACATCTTGCATAACCAAGTCCTCCATAGCAAGACAGGTGTAGACATCGGCCAGTTTAGCATTTCTACGAATGGTTACAGGACAACTGGAAGCATTTAGGATCTTGAGAGGGACAAATCTGTCTCCCCAGAGTTGTGTCAACGCTCTTGCCACCAATATGCCTCTGGGAGCAGAGTGGGAAGTTGTGGGTTCAGACATCACAGTCAAGCCAGGTGATAACCTTGTATCCTTGGGAAGTTTGCCCCATAAAAGATATTCAGTTCCAGCCTCCAAAGTGACAGCTGTGTTACATCTCACAGTTCCGATTTTGTCTGGGACATCCTCACCAGAACGACGATCCAGGCCAGCAAGCAGAGAGAGGAACTCCTCAAGCTCAGGGTGATCTAGGTTTGGTGTGGAAATAGCTTCCCAATAGGAGGAGTCATTCTTTAGCTGGTGTAACAGATGCCTGATGACATTGGAGCCCACGAGCAGATCAGCCTGTTGGTTATTTACAACAAAGGTGGGGACCAATAGCTTACATCCATAGATCTCCATCTCCAGATCTATTATTGAAGTTGGTTTCACTCTGGCACCACCACATCCCACAAACACAACATCAGTACCCTCCTGATGAGAGATAACAACACCCGCATTAATTAGCGACTGCAGGGCTACTTCACTCAGTGAGCATGCCATCGAACCACTGTCCAGCATGGCATCAAGAGTCACTTTGCCATCGACTTTAACATGCATATAAAACAAGCTGTCACTCTTTTTGACCCTTTGTGTGTCCTGAACAATAACATTTTCTGATTCATTCAGTTTCTGTATATTTTGGTACAATTCAGCAGCATCAAATGTGTGGGAGATTTTACCTTGACCCATGTGACCTCCCTCCAGACATAGGTCACCTAGTTTCCCTGCATATTTTCTGTAGGGGAAGTATTGGTTGGGCAGGACCATCTCGTGTGGTCTGGGCTGAAACATGTGAAACAGAGTCGGTCTGAACGGCAGTGGGTTTCTGTTGTATGCTTGTCATCATTGCACACCCGACAGTTCATAACAGATCTGGCCCGGCCCTTTGTGCGCCCACGACGAGCATATGAGGGCTGACCACTAGGCTGAACTTTGGTGAGAAGCTCCCTGAGCATCGACACTATGTCACCAAGCATGGCACCCTCTTGTGGCTGACTGAGTGGGGCAGAAGCTGGAGACTGGAACTGGCATTGCACTTCTGTACATTTACTCTGCTGCTTCATAGGCTGTAGGGAAGGAAAACATGTCTGTGCAGCTGGAGTAACTGAATCACCTTGGAACTGCTGGTTCTGCACCATTGCAGGTGCATAGGATAAAGGAGTTTCAGTGGTTGGCTGCACAACATGATGGAGCAGAACACCATCAGGCATATGTACATTACTGGAGACTCTGGGCTCAACGTGTGTCTCAAAACATAGTAATTGGGCTGCAGATGGTTTGTGCATTGGTGTTTTAATACTGGACAATCGCTCTCTTTGGTGTTCATCTAGCCTCTCCTGAATGTCTTTGGGGGTCCACTCATGAATCTGTTTGTACTTAAACACTGAAACTAGTTCTGTATCAGGGCAGTGCTTTACAAACATTTTAGCAATTTCGCTACCAATATCCTCAATGCGCTTCCCTTGACGCTTCAGACCTTCCTCAGCCATGTCTGCAGCCTTATTAAGGCGAATCCAGTAATCAACAGCATCCTCTTTCTGGAGTGGCAGTGTGGAGTAGAAATCTTGTAGAGGCAGACAGGAGGATGTGTTACTGAAGTACTGTATCAGCATGTTATAAATTACATCTGGGGAGGATGTAGCATTTAAGGCAGGATTACTTCTAAGGCCAATCTTAACTACATCTCTGGCTCTACCCATCAACTTCCCCATAATTTCCTCTTTTTGCATAGAAACATCATAGTTCTGCCGTCTAAGGTAACCTCTCATCATTTCAACCCACTCAGTAACAGTGTACTTGTCAGAATTGTCACCTTTGAAAACTGCAGGTGAGGTTTCTGATTTTACAATGACATTAAACCTTTGACCATCTGAGACAGAAGCGTCCTCAACATTGGCACTGTCCTGTTTCTGACAGGTACCACAGGCTTCTTTTCCCCAGCAACGCCAGAAGATAACAGTTTATTTGCAATTGATTCCCCAATCTGTGAACCTAACTGATAAATCATGTCACTTATTTGGTGTAAGTCATTACCAACAACAGGTGTTGAGTGACTCTGGCCCCCAAATAACATCTGACCAGTAGGTGTCTCATCTGGATCCCGAGCTAATCCCTGGGGTTTACTACTACTCGCAGGTAGTATAGGTGATGCACCCAAATCAAACCCAACAGCACAACCGGGCTGAAAAGTAAGTCCCATTACACCTCTACCTCTCCCAAAAGAGGGGTGACTGTTCACAGTTTTACCACTTGGTTCAAATCTCTTTGCCATGTTAAGATAAAGCAGAAATAAAACACACTCAATTAAAATCCAGTGGTAATTAGAAATAGAACTACTGTTTCCCTTAGTTCATAAACCTTGTGACCCAATTGTGGAGGTCTTGAAGTGAAGAGGTAACTTGCAGGTAGACGACACAGTAACCTCCGGTGAACCGCATCAAGCTGCTCAGCAATCCGGGAGTCACGGCACCAGTGTGACGGCTTCCTCTTGTTGTCCGTCCAGGGTTATTGGAGTTGCCTCAAATCACCGCACACATACAATCAGGCCACAGACACAGGACTGTCCTTCAGAGCTTTTTACTGGCAGGATCTGATGTAAAAACAAGCACACAATAATACATCAGTGTGTGTGCGCTGCAACTGCATACAACGGTCTTTTTCAAAATATGCTCTAACAACACTTAAATATCTGTAACAAGTCCTATTGATATATTAATTAAAGGTTAAAATGACTTAAAGTGCAGAGTGGCTTCACAGTACACCTACCTCCACCAGCTTTCATTACTGCTTTGGTGGGAGGGGCTGTGAATGCGCCTGAAGGACCCGTTGCATGCAGTTGCGCCTAACCACCAGTAGGCGGCTCCAAAAACACAAACAATCACTGCACATTACTTTTGGTGAAATTCACATTTTCATCTCTGTTACACCGACATTGAGTTGCTGATTGTAACCAATGTTTCTAAAGCTTTGGAACCATTAGAAGTAATCTACAGCACAGGAAATGGACCTTTTGCCATCAGAACCATGCTCGGCTGTGTCATGGTGGGCTGAAGTCTCTTAACCCACATGAGAGAATCACACACGGAAAAGGTGAGTGATGATATAAAAGTCTTTATTATTAAGAAAAACAAAGAAACCAAAGAATAATAAATACGGGCGCAGATCCACAGGACAGGGAACCGGGACGAATCCGACTATAAGAAAAACACAATGGTGTGAGTGGCAGAAACCGAGAACCAGGAAAGTATAAGATAAGAGGAACGGTCTTACTGAGTCGAGCAGGGTACGAGCTGGAGGGAGAGGCAAGTCAGGCTGATGCAGGGGTGGAGGTTGTCGCAGGAGAACGATTAGATCCAGAAAGGCAGGTGAGCGGTGGAGAGCGGAGGCCAGGGAATCGAACAGCGTCGAGATAAAAACACACACCTCAGGCAGGCGGAGAGTATCCAGGACTGGGGCAGACAAAAACGCAGATCAGGTTGAACAGACAAACTAGTTTTCAGGTCTCTCTGATTCAGGACAGGATTTACCCAACAATTGAGTATCAGCCAGCGTTGAGGTGTGGGAGCGCTGTTCCTTAAATCCTCTGGCCAAGCTGGAGTTAATTGGCTTCAGCTGCAGCTCCCCAACACACTCACCTGCAAACAATGAATGACAACACACAGCAGAAGACAGCAGAACCATGACAATACCCCCCCCTCAAGGGACGCCACCCGGCGGCCCAGCCGAAGAGGAGGAGGAGGAGGAGGAGGAGGAGGAGGAGGAGGACTCAAAATCCCTGATGAGCGAGACGTCATCAATCCAGGAGGAGGGAATCCACTGACGATGCTCCGGACCGTACCCCTCCCAATCCACCAGGAATTGGCGACCACGACCCCGGGGACGAACACCCAGGATGCGCCGCACCCGGTAGCAGAGACCGCCGTTAGCAAGCCGGACAGGAGGAGAAGGCTCAGTAGGAGGGCACAGAGGGCTGGACACAAAGGGCTTGACCAATGAGACGTGGAACACCGGATGGACCCTCATGGAGGAAGGCAGGGACAGACGCACAGAAACTGGGCTGAGGACCTCAGCTATGGCGTAGGGGCCGATGAACCGGGGGTAGAATTTCTTATTAGCATCCTTCAGTTTGATGTCCCGGGTGGACAACCAGACCCGCTGGCCAGGAGCGTATGCAGGGGCTGGACGGCGGCGCCGGTCAGCCAGCCGGCGGTTGCGGTCGGCGGTCCGTTGGAGTGCGGCCTTGGTCTGGGTCCAGGTGCGTCTAGCGCGGCGGATGAACTGGAGAGCTGAGGTCGGAGGATTGGAGTCGGAGGGAAACAGAGGTGGCTGATAACCCAGAGAGATCTTGAATGGGGATTGGCCTGTGGTGGAGGAAATGTGTGAGTTGTGAGCGTACTCTATCCACGCAATCTGGTCACTCCATCCAGACGGATCTTTAGAGCAGACACATCTCAGCATGGCCTCCAGCTCCTGGTTCATCCGCTCGCACTGGCCATTGGTTTGGGGATGGAAGCCAGAGCTCAGAGCGGTTCGAGCACCCAGATGGTTGGCAAATTCCTTCCACACTCGTGACACAAATTGAGGGCCTCGGTCTGAGAGGATCTCTGAGGGGATTCCATGTAGGCGGAAAACCTGAGTGACGAGGAGAATGGCCGTCTCTGCAGAGGTTGGGAGATGTTTAAGGGGAACTAGATGACAGGACTTGGAGAAGCGATCGACAATGGTGAGTATGGTGTCAAAACCTTTGGAGACCGGTAAACCAGAGACAAAATCCAATGCGATGTGGGACCAGGGGCGTGAAGGAATAGACAGGGGACACAGGAGACCTTGAGGTGGCTGGTTGCTGGACTTATTTCGGGCACAAACCTGACATGCGCTTATGTATTCCTTGGTGTCCCTGTAGAGCGTGGGCCACCAGAACGTCCGACGGATGAGGGCCAGCGTTCTACCTACGCCGGGATGGATGGAGAACCTGGAGGTGTGAGCCCACTTGATTACGGCACTGCGAACAGAGGAGGGGACATAGGTTCTGTTAGGGGGCCCCGTACCTGGGTCGGGATCCGTCTGCTGAGCCTCCAAGACCTTGGTGGAAATATCCCAGGTGATAGATCCGAGGACACAGGAAGGAGGAAGGATAGTGGTGGGTTCGACCTCCTTGTCCGGGGCGTAAAGGCGGGATAGGGCGTCGGGTTTGGTGTTCTTAGTTCCGGGTCTGTAAGAGATGAGGTAGTTAAATCGGGAGAAGAATAAAGACCAGCGGGACTGGCGGGGATTAAGCCTCTTGGCCTCCCTCAGATACGCTAGGTTCTTATGGTCCGTCAAGATCTGGATGGGATGTTCCGCCCCCTCAAGCCAGTGACGCCACTCCTCCAGTGCCAGTTTTATGGCCAACAGTTCCCGGTCTTCAACGTCGTAATTCTGTTCGGCTGGGGACAGACGACGAGAGAAAAAGGCACACGAGTGCAGGGTATTATCAACTGAGGAGACCTGGGATAATACAGCACCAGCACCGGTGTCAGACGCATCCACCTCCAGGGTGAATTGCCGGAGCGGATCTGGTCGGGTGAGGATGGGTGCCTGAGTGAAACGGTTCTTTAAGGTGAGAAATGCTTCTTCTGCCTCAGGGGTCCAGGAAAAAGGTTTGTTAACAGAAGTTAGTTGAGTGAGAGGGGTGGCTATGGAACTGTAGTCTTTAATGAACCTACGATAGAAATTAGCAAACCCCAAGAATCGTTGCAGCTGTCTTCTGTTCGTTGGTGAGGGCCACTCCTCCACAGCTCTGATTTTGTCTGGATCTGCCTTCAGCCTTCCGCTCTCTAGAACAAAACCGAGGAACTTGACAGATGAGGAGTGGAATTCACATTTCTCTGCCTTAACGAACAGACGGTTCTCTAGGAGACGTTGGAGAACTGCACGGACATGTAGACGGTGTTCGGATGGTGATCTGGAGAAAATGAGGATGTCGTCGAGATAAACTGTGACAAATTTGTTGATGAAATCATTGAGGACAGAGTTGATTAGAGACTGAAAGACCGCGGGTGCATTTGTAAGACCAAAAGGCATGACAAGATATTCAAAATGTCCGAGAGGGGTCTTAAAGGCTGTCTTCTATTCATCTCCCTCTCTGATGCGGACCAAATGATATGCATTACGGAGGTCGAGTTTGGTAAATATGGAAGCGTCGTTGACTGGGTCGAATGTAGATGAGAGCAAGGGAAGAGGGTATTTGTTCTTGACAGTTATCTGGTTTAGTTCCCGGTAGTCGATGCAAGGACGTAGAGAGCCGTCTTTTTTAGACACAAAAAAGAAACCAGCTCCCAGTGGAGAAGTGGAGGGTCTTATTATGCCTGCTGCAAGAGATTCAGAGATGTACTGTTTCATGGATTCGTGTTCAGGTCTAGAAAGGTTATACAACCTGCTGGTGGGTAATCTTGCGTTTGGGAGGAGATCTATGCACATGTCGAAAGGTCTGTGGGGTGGTAGCGTAGAGGCATTATCCTTGCTGAAGACCTGCTGGAGGTCATGGTATTCAGTGGGAACTCTCGACAAGTCGAGAGGCTCTGGGATCTTGGCCTTGGGGTTGAGTATAGGAATCGATGCGGATGATAAACAGTTAGACAAACAAAAACAGCTCCAGTTACTGATGCTCCCTGTTCTCCAGTCGATCTGCGGGTTGTGCTTTTTTAGCCATTCGTGTCCCAAAACAACAGGTGATTGTGGGGAAGGAAAAACAAAAAAGGAGAGTACCTCATGGTGATTTCCGGATACCCTTAGGTTAACGGGAACCGTCTGGTGGGTTATGGTGGTCAGAGAACAGCCGTCCAGGGAGGACGCACGAAGGGGTGTGGTGAGACGTACCGTGGGGATCTCCAGCTGTTGAACCACAGCCAGATCCAGAATATTGCGCTCGCAACCGGAGTCCACCAGGGCGTCTGCAGAAAAGGTTTGATTATTAAATGAGACCAAACAGTTCACGGAACACAGGGATCTTGGATTTGTGGTGCCACCCACCAGTAACCCTGGACCTACTGGTGGGTGCGATCTTTTGGCCGGACAGGGCAGTGTGAAATCATGTGACCCGCTTGACCACAGTAGAGACAAAGGCCAGCCGTCCTCCGCCTCAGTTTCTCCTCAGGAGTAAGTTGAGCCCTTCCCAGCTGCATAGGTTCAGGTTGCGACACTAGCGCTACCGGGGTGCGGGAGGACATTTCAGGGGCGGAGATGGAAGGTAGATGCCGTGAAACCCTACGTCTGTCCTTGAGACGTCTCTCAATGCGTGAGGCCAAGGAGATGAGACTTTCCAGGTTCTCAGAATCTGGACAGAAGGCTAACTGATCCTGAAGATCATCAGATAGGGACTGAGAAAAAGCAGCTCGGAGTGACGCGTCATCTAGTGTAGATATGGAAGCTAAGGTCCTAAATTCTATGGCGAAATCTAATACTGTTAATCTCCCCTGGCGTAGACTCCAGATTTTTCTTGCTATTTCCGCAGGGTTGTCGGGTGTATCAAATATCTGAGAAAATTCTGACAGAAATTCATGGAGAGGACCGAGTAGAAAACCAGGCTGGCGACTTCTAGCCTCAGCCCACAATAACGCTTTCCCACGTAACAATCCCACAATAAACGAAATCTTTATAGGATCGCTGGAAAACGTGTCAGGAGATCGTTTAAACGCCAAATCACATAGCAAAAGGAAACTACGACATCTGCCAGGCTCACCTGAGAAGGTGTCTGGTGTGGGCGAATCGGCAACCCGGAAATGACCTGGTGCCGGCGGAACCGGAAGAGGCGGCGCAGGTGGAGGGGAGGAAATGGATGAGGCTGCTGCGCCGAGTTGAGCCCGCAGCTGCCGGTTTTCGGTGTCGAGGTGAAGTAACCGTTGATTAGTGAGATTCAACTGTTCGATCACAGACTGTATGGACTTTTCATGTTGGGTTAACGTGGATACTAACGTCGGAGGAAGTGATTCACTCATGGGATCGGGAGTTCTTTGGCTGGCTGATTCTGTCATGGTGGGCTGAAGTCTCTTAACCCGCATGAGAGAATCACACACGGAAAAGGTGAGTGATGATATAAAAGTCTTTATTATTAAGAAAAACAAAGAAACCAAAGAATAATAAATACGGGCGCAGATCCACAAGGACAGGGAACCGGGACGAATCCGACTATAAGAAAAACACAATGGTGTGAGTGGCAGAAACCGAGAACCAGGAAAGTATAAGATAAGAGGAACGGTCTTACTGAGTCGAGCAGGGTACGAGCTGGAGGGAGAGGCAAGTCAGGCTGATGCAGGGGTGGAGGTTGTCGCAGGAGAACGATTAGATCCAGAAAGGCAGGTGAGCGGTGGAGAGCGGAGGCCAGGGAATCGAACAGCGTCGAGATAAAAACACACACCTCAGGCAGGCGGAGAGTATCCAGGACTGGGGCAGACAAAAACGCAGAACAGGTTGAACAGACAAACTAGTTTTCAGGTCTCTCTGATTCAGGACAGGATTTACCCAACAATTGAGTATCAGCCAGCGTTGAGGTGTGGGAGCGCTGTTCCTTAAATCCTCTGGCCAAGCTGGAGTTAATTGGCTTCAGCTGCAGCTCCCCAACACACTCACCTGCAAACAATGAATGACAACACACAGCAGAAGACAGCAGAACCATGACAGGCTGGACTGTGAATGGACCACTGACAGGAGAAATTGGAAATGAAGAAGAATGTCGACAGCCTGAGTCGATGGCGAATAAAGTTTCTGTTGAGAACCTGGATGACCTCTGGCAGAAACAGTTCAGGACAGACTTTCCTGAATGCAGCACTGACGAAAAGCTTGGAATGTCTGTAGAGGATCAAAGAGTCATGGAACTGGTCATCATTTCAACAAAGCTGGTTGACGGACATTATGAAATCATTCTGCCTTTGAGAACAAAGTAATTCAACACGTCAAATAACAGGAAGTTGGTGGAGTATCGTGCAATACAACTGAAGAAAAAAAGTCTAAATAATGAGCAGTTTTATGCTGATTATGTTGCATTCATGAACAATCGAAAGGCTTTGCTGAGAAAGTACCTGAAAATGAATTGCAGCACATTCCAGGGTGGCCTTTTATTGTGGGTAGTATAAGGTACACCTGTGCACTACTCATGATGTCAGGTCAGCATCTTGATGTGGCACACCTGTGAGGTGGGATGGATTATCTCAGCAAAGCAGAAGTGCTCACTATCACACATTTAGACTGATTTGTGAACACTGTTTGAGAGAAATGGTAATAATGTGTATCTGGAATTAATTTTAGATCTTTAAGTCATCTCATGAAAAATCGGCGCAGAAACAAAGGTGTTGCGTTTATATTTTTGTTGAGTGTATATATTTATAGATAATCTTTATAAAACACCTTTTGTAAACAGTAAATGTCTAATGTGTTGGTCAAAAACAACCTTCTTACCTCAGATAACTTCATTGCTAACAATGAAAAGCTGTGTCTTTGTTGACACAGCTTTTCCCGCAGGTGCATGTTAGGAGGTGTGGCTTTAGGCTCTTTCGGGAATGGCGAGGGAGTGAGCAACAGCCGTTCGAATTTAAAATCCTCCTCCTCCTCACCCTGATGACATTGACTTACGGACCCTGCCTTTAAAAGTCAGAATTCTACCAACAAAGGGGTTAAAACAGAATGTGAGGCCCGGAGAACAGCCGAAACCCTAAACCGCTGCCTCTCAGACTGCTGATGGCACCGCCTTTTTATCTCCGATGTGGGTCATTTGACGGATTCAGCTCAGCTGTGCTCATCAGCAGCCTGGAGAAGAGAAGGAGGAGGGACGGTGTCACAGGGGCTGAGTGATCCTGGCTCCTGGAACTGAAGAGGGCAGGCTGGTGGCCATAACACTGTAAATCCAATACTGTACAAGTATTTCACACATGCTGTTACTGGTGTTATTGTGTACCAGGATAATGCCAGTATAATGTAAACTGAGGAGTTCTACACTCTTACTGCAGAGGGGATGAATGACCCACTGCAGCGTTGTTTTACATCTGGGATGTCTCAGTCTGCCTCTGAAGGAGCTGTCCATGGTTTTCACAGTAGAATGCAGTGGGTGGGAGGGGTTTTTAGGATGGAGGACATCTTCCCCAACATCCTCCTTTCCAATATGCGTACAATTGGTAAAATCATTAGACAGTGTGGGATTAACTTCCACTGTTATGCTGATGATACTCACCTGTATTTATTCATAAACCTAATCAGCAGTGTTGGGCATCTTACATTAAAAAGGTAATTAGTTATAGTGACAAATTACTTTTTCCCCAAAAAGTTATGGAGTTGGTAAATCAGTTATCACATTGTAAAAGTAGTTAGTTACCTAGCTTAGCTGTAACGTTACTTTTTGTTCCATAATGTAGTTATGTTCTATAACATCTATAGTGAAAGATGTTTTAACTGAATGATTCTCACAATCTAAAATGAACATTTCATATATCTGAAAAGTTCATTCAGTGAGAAATTTCCTATAGATATCTGGAATACATATCCAGTCTGCCTAATTAACGTTAAAAAGAGCACCGTAAGTTTTTAGGTATTCTGAGATGTCGCAAACTTAATTCATACTATGCAGTTTTTATTGTGGATTATCGTTTCTACTGGTAACAATATAGCTGTTGATGTCTTCATCTGCTATTTGGACTAATACGAATACAGTTAGTACTAGGACAAATTCAATTATCCAAATTAGAGTGGTCCGATTGTTGATTAAAGTTTAAACGGCTTCCCGTTTCCTTGGTATTGTCTTGCCTGTACTGTATTCACTCATCTCCTCACCTTTCTGAAGTGCTGTTTACTTCCGCCTCTCTTACTGATCCGTCCCCACCAGTACATACAGATCCCGTCATGTGAATGTAATAATTGTCCGAGACAATTTGCGCGCGCCAACCTCATCCCTGCTTTTTAGCAATCAGAGAGATGAGTGTGTGCTGCTCTGCACACATACTCGTGTGTATCATGTCATATGTTCGGAGCTGTGTATTAATTTCTGGCACATGGAGTCCCAAGTGCAGTGGGATTGTCAGTGATCTTGTATTTATTCCATTTTCTAATAATTGCTCCAAACGTTGATCTCCTCTCTCCCAGCTGCTAGTCTATGTAGACTGGCTCATCCCAGTCTCGTCTCATCCCGGGAGTCTTTAGACAGCTCGTTGGTCATGGAACTGACAGATTTTGGAGTCTGACTGTGTGTAGGTGTGGACAGGTGTCCTTTGAATGGATAACAAGTTCACACAATAGTACAGGTAGTGAGTGGTGGGTAGAATAGAAGACGTAACAGGTCTGTGAAGGCTTAGTTTGTCAGAGTTAAATACTTATTTTCTGACCAATACACAATGGGATTTCCTGTTTTTCATATTCTGTTAAAGTGTAACTATGGTGAAAATTGCAGACATCTTTCATCTTTTAAGTGGAACAACATTCTCATTGGTGGCTGCCAAATACTCTATTTGCCTCACTGTACATGGTGTCTTGCCCAAGAACACTGCATTAAAGAGCGGGTCAATTGAGCCTCGGAGTCCTTCTCCACCCACGTATCAATTTTAAAAAATGCAAGATTAGTAGGCGTTGCCTGGAGGACCGAGAGGGCAGAGCAGCGGCAGTGACGAAGACGACAGCTAACTAGACGATGCTAGCTCCCTTCACTCTATGCAGTTATTAGAAGTGGAGGACGTTTCTCCCCCTCCTTACCCAGACACTCGAGAAGAAAGGGACCAAGTCTATTTGGAGGAGACAAGCGGACCTGAGCCTTATTGTTTTGAGCTTGTGAGTAGCCTGAAACTCCCAGAACCGACCCAACAGAACCATCTTTGAATGGTAAGTAGCCATTAGCCATAGCATTGGATTAGCTGCAGTGTTTGGCTCCACGGCCCTAAAAAGCTAGTATTCAGCATGTTTTAGAGGTTTATCTGCTTCAGCACACCTGGATTTAATCAGCAACAAATAGCTGAGCTGCTTAACAGCTAATCTAACCTGTTAAAGCAGGAAAATCCACTGAAACGTGCTGGATAGCAGCTCTCCGGTAGCCCTGGGCTCAAGTTACAGTCTGCTGCATATAAAGTTATGAAAATACCCCATGAGAAAATTATTCTGTAATGTGTTCAGCTCACTAAAACTGCCCTGATTTATTTATTTACTGATAACAGCTGCTCTCTTGGTTCTAGGTCCTCTGGTGTCTGCAGCTGGTCTGGTGTCGTCAGGATCAGGAGCTTCCAGAAGAATGTGCCTTTCAATGACTCTTTCCCCCTTATTTGTTATATTAATTAAATAAATCTCAATTTATATATTTTCTGTTTTTGTTCATGTCCATAAATACTTAAACATGCTTGAAATTAAAACGAGCTTTTAACAGTGAGGTGCTTGTTTAATTCAGCACAATAGAGCTAGTTAAACATGCATTGTGATAATTCAATTAATGTAATTTATAAATATCCATTAAAATATCAAAACTGGAATCTAAATGAGATATTTGGCAGCACAAAAAACTTGTCAAACACAATATTTATTATAATAATTGTAGGCAGACAGGAGACAGAGCTGATGGAGGTTCTCAGTCATCGAAGGACGGCTGAAGGCTTTCCAGGAACAGGAGATGTGGTGTTGTCTCTTCTCTCTCTATTCTGCCAGATGAGCTGATAGGTTACAGGTGTGTGAGGACATCCTCATGCTGTCATAACCAGATTACAGGAGTTATCAGGTGATCAGCCAGGCTAATGAGATGCAGAAAGAAAACAAATTCAGGACAGTGTACAATATGTGGTGTTGCTCACCTTATGTGCTCTTATAGAATATTAACGTGTGCCTGCCTCATGGTGTAGAGTCTATATTTTGCTGAGTGTCCTGCAATAATGCAGGTTATTAGTTAATTTACTTTTGATAGCAAAAACAAAATATTTAATGTAAAAGTTATTTTCCAGGTGAATCAGCTCACACGTCACCACCAAGTGTCACGGGGGCAGAATCAGTAGCCTCCGTCATGATGTAATCACATACTTATTTAATTGTTAATATCTTAAAAATTCTGAAATGCTTTAATTTTTTTTTTTTTTTACCTTGAACAGTTCACTGAGCTTGCACTGTCACTGAGGTGGAAGCTGGAATCAACAGCAGACACCTCACACCTTGGTCTTTTCAGGGGGTGTGGCCGCTGCTCTGGGACCTTCTGGAAGATGAATTTTGATCATGGTCCCCGTGGGTCACCAGACACACTGCGGCTGTGAACTCCATTCTGGCTGGCTATGTAAAAACAAAGAAGCAGCACATTTATAAATGTTTAAAAGAGCATAAAATCACGTGTAACAATAATCTGTAAAACAAATTAAAACTAGAAGGTAATAATAAAATGTTTACATAGAAGATTATTAAAAATAATTCACCTTTGCTACAGGGAAGGTTTCACGTCAGCCTGGACAAGTGCATTCTTGCAGCTAAATCAGTCTGACAGCCTATGTCTTGGGTAGATTTAGCCTGAAAAAAAAATATAAGCACATTGTTGTTGGGAGTTTATAAAGTCAGATAATATACAAAAGAATCTCCTATATAGGCGCTTTATAACATTCCTAGTGTGTGATCGTTGTTATAACGTAAAAGTCAGTCACACATGATGTGGAGAGCCTGAAATGTGACCTCCTGAACAGAATTCCTTACAGAACCGGGTCACAAGCTGGATTTCACGCTGTAATGCTGTCTGTCAACTAGTGCTGCGTCAGTTAGAGCCACTGTTGCAGAATTGCCGACTGACTAGCTAAAGGAAGTGAACCACGTCTCTCAGACTTTGCATTTAGGTAGGGAATTGTCTTTAGAAGATGTTAAAACGTCTATTTAGCTTACTCACCTCAGACTGGAGCTCGCCGTGGTGGGGGAGCAGAGTCGGTGGGCTGCATCTAAATCGCGGAAGAACCACGGTGGGCAGCCTCCCTCTTCAAACGGAGGCGTGCAGAATCGCGGGTAAAATGCCCACAGAGTCACCGCAACCATACTACACTACACCTACTCACCAATACTTAGACGATATGGAACACTAAACCCGAACTACTTTCCCAATTACACTAACAACCAAACACTAACTAAACTACAATATCCAACAGCCAAGCTAACACTAAATAAGTATTTATAACACTTAAAGATATGCTAAAGACTAGGATATGCTAATGCTATATGCTAATGTTGAACTACCGCTGACCTCCTACGCTCTCTTGCAAATCCAACTCCCACTCGCCACAAGGCGTGGCCGAGACGCTCGTTGCTTTTATAACGTTCACACAGAGCTGCTACGTAGTACTCTACTGGTTTACGTAGTATTTTACTCTTTAGCCATTGGCTAAAATTTATTCAAAATGACTCAAATTCTATGTTTTCAGCTGAAGGTGGCGCATTACTGTGGTTTTTAGACAGAATTTTAAATTTTTAAAGAAAATGTACCAAAATGCTAAAATAAAGAATGCACACATTTAAAACACTATTAGACACTCATTTATACAGTTCATCAGCAAAAAAAGTTAATTTAGACGTTACTTGCTCTTTAAATAGCAGGGAAGCTGGGTTTCAACCAGCGACCTTTTGAATGGCTAACAGCCACTTTTCCTTTCAACCACAGCCACTCGAGCTCATAGTGATGGAAAAATGAGCCAACTTGAGTGTTTCATAACTTCAGTGGGAGATAACCGGACTTTTTATTTGTTTTTAATTAAATAAAAATGTTCTTTCAAAGAGAAAAATGTTTCTGTGCTACAATAATAAGGCATGACACAAAATAATTATTTTCTTCTAAAAAGGAATTACTTTAGCCTGGCAAGCCAGACTAAATAAATGTATTATTTACGAACTTTGCAAAGCAAGAATTTGGTCTAGTTCACTAGGCTAGAATTACTTTGCTTTCCGTACATTTGCCAAGCCCAGTTCCATTTTTTGTGTTATCATGGTAATAGACATTCCCAAAGAAAGCCAGACAATAGAACAGATGTTAGTAATGTCAACATTAGAAAATAGCTGCAGTGTTCGCCCATTCAGGGGACCGGCTCTCTTTTCTTGTTCGGGTTTGATTCTTTATTCCACTGGATATGAATTTTCCAAAACACATCTTTCCTGCAACAACTTCCAAAGTCGGCCATCTCAGGATGCAACTTTGAGACCTGATGGTGTGATGTGGGAAGGACATTAAAGAAGCCAAGTGAAACAGGAAATCTTTCTCTCAGGCTTGATTACTGATTATGCTTTCATTAGCAGGAGGGGGGCTGAAGGCATGAGCATGAGTCTCGCGTTGTGTCGGTTCACTTGTGTAACATTTTAGTCGATGATATTTGCTGTAATTAGCAGATGTGACACTCTCGGGTGCCTTTCGTCATTAGATTGCGTGGTTTCCTGCATCAGAGGCTTCCCACGTGCTGGGCCCGGCAGTTGGCAAGCTTCATGATGGAGGCAGAGGCTGGGAGGTTAGTCCACCGAGGGCAGGAGGGGCTGTCACACAGTCCGTGTGCACGCCATTTTCTTAAAGAAATTATTTCTTTTGTGAGTCTTTTAACTGCTAAAAGTAACGGTGGTGCACATGAGCAAGTACTGCACAATAAAGTCTTTACAATCCAAATGCCACTGTGGCTATGGCAGAAAAAAAAGACTTTAAAGCTGTTTTTACAGGACCATAGAGTTTGCAAAACGGGATTTGCCGCGGCTCCCTGGGGAGGATACTGGCACTTATAGAGCTCCAGACCCCACGTGACTCTCAGTTAGTAGACGCCATATTGGCAGGAAAAAAGGTAAACAAACACGGATCATGAACATGAACGGGATCGGCTTGGATTTTACTTCGTCGGAGTTTACTTCACACTTTAAAACCAAAGAAATCATTTTATATAGTCAGAAATTAAATAGACTAAACATCTCCGAACATTACCGTGCCCCTGGGATACTTTTTAAAAACGCCAGAAGCTGTCGGAGCGGACTTCTTACTGGACCTGGCCGGGGAACCCCTTGGGATTCCCCCGGAGGAGCTGGCTCAGGTGGCTGGGGAGAGGGAAGTCAGGACCTCTCGATGCTACTGCCCCCGCAACCCGACTCCGGATACGCGGATGAAAATGGATGGATGGACAAATAACAGATTTACACGTAAGTAGTTTAAATAGAGTGCTGTGCTGTTTGAATATATAAACTGAACGCCAAGAGAAATCACTAGTTTGATTTTTTTTCCGTGAATAAAACAAATATGTCAGGCAGGAGCGTCTCAGGATCTGTCTGAGATCTGTCTCGGTGAGACAGATAACAGCAATCCAAAGTGCTTTTTAAGTGTCTGACAATTGATCAGCCATTGCCTAAAAATTAAATACAGCTTAGCCGGTTAATTGCTGTGATCATAAAACACATAAATGGCAGCACGCAGAAATCACGAGGCAACGTTTTACGTGATGTTTACTTGTTGCTGTGAGTAATAAGACAGAAGTTGCTCTAAAGGGATTAGCGGGGCGGACATGCTTTTAGCCATCTGAGGCGAGAGGCTCATGCGGCAATATTACTACGAAGGTAAGCGCATCAGAATCGAGTTTTATCACCTTTCCCCTTTGCTCCTTGCCGCATTTACGAGACCCACAAATTTGGATTCATCACTCTGTAATGACGCAATGGTCTGTCTTATAAAAGAGTCTCATGAGTCGATAACCTTAAACCGCTTCAGTTCGTAGCAGACAGAAGCTGTGTCCAGCTTGAGAGCATGAGCACAGCCAACCTTTCTAACAGCAGCTCCTCCGACGACTGTCCAATCAATAAACTCCAATTCTATTTGAGCTGAAGTTTAGACCACCACATTACCAGTCCCCTCAAGTCATATTCTGTTCATCTATGGAAATATAAGAGGGCGGACATTGTTAAGGAGCTCATCTGCAAGTCAAGTGTCATTCAGATTTCCTGTTTTGTGGGGCAGCTGTTAATCACACACCACCAGGTGGAAGACATCTAATCAAGCTCATTATCCAGCTTCCCAGCTTGAATATTCAGATTGACTTTTAATTATTATACATTGTGCTGAAATTCCGTAAATCCTCGTGGAAATGGGTCGATTGAATTGGGAGGAAAACACCTGGTAACACAAATGTGAGTCTGATTGTGTAGTTTGAGGCAAACATCACAGTCAAATGAACGCACTCCACCAGCTTGGTGATTCAGTTACGCCGTGCATCATCTCGAGGCTAAAAGATAATGGATATCCTAAACAGTCATGACAGCATCCCTCCATTATTTGTCATGCTATGAATAATGTTCCAGTGTTTGGCCCATCAGCTGAGTAAGAGCTAAGTGGTGCTGCATGCATCAGTTTGATAATGAATACTGACTGTCAGATGGGTTTTAGAAACTTACTTCAGCCCCAATTAAAAAGGAGAGCTGCAGTCATTGATTTTCCTGCACAATGTGGCAGAGATGGTAAATGTCTTCTGAAGGAGGCAACTATATCAGGCCATTGTTATCGCCTCTGTGCACGTGTGTGTGCACGCTGCCAGACCTGCAGACGGTGATTGCTGTTGGATGAAAAAGTGGAGGGAAATGAATGTTCCCACCTCCACACACACTCTGAAGCTAATGATTGATCGTGTTGAATTCTAACAGATAACTCGGGCAGGAAAGATCTGTGGAGAAACTAAACCGAACACAATTTACCAAAAACACAATTTTTTAAAAGGATTCAATTAAATGAGTCAAACACTGGAAAATATTAGAAATTTTAAAGGATTTAGATGTGTCGTGAGTAGAATTATATTAAAGTTCTTGGTGTTAAGCTGATTCTTTTATCCTTGTTTCCGTTCATGTCTCTGCTCGCCTGTTTGTTGGACGGAAGCAAGTCACTGCTCCAGCTCAGAGAAGATGTGATAGGAAACATTAAAAAAGTCCAACTGCTTGTACAATAAAGCATCTTTGGAGTCACAACTGCTAACTGAAACAACTCTTGGCTCATCAGCCTGGATGAGCTGTGGTCATTTAATTTAAACTAAAACTGGAGGAACATATGAGAACCACACTGCTAGCATGATTTAAACGATCTCATCGCTGTAGAAACTCTTAGCAAATCAGGTTCACAGAAAAGGGCAGAACACATCGCACACACAACCAGTTCACTCGGGCATACGTGTTCACAGCCCCCAAAACTGCCCTACTCCTTTTTTTGTCTGGGGTGGGGGACAGGCTGCCATCCCTGCAGCCTTGTTCACTTGAAGCTGTGACTGCATCTCCCAGCAGGTATCCTAGGTACACTGCACATGCTTTGCCCAGCTGTCACTGTGGACGATGACATCATCCAAGGAGGCAGCAGCCTATGTGGAGTGGGGTCGCAGGACCTTGTGTATGAGGTGCTGAAAGGTGGCTGGGGCCCTAGTCAACCCAGAGAGCATGAGCTAGAATTGGAAAAGGCATAACAAAATGAACAGTGCAGTCTTTACCTTGTCTTCTGGCACCAACAGGATCTGCAAATCCTGGCCAGCATTGTGAAGTATTGGGCCGAGCACAGGCAGTTGTTGAGGAGGTCTTCGACACATGACATGGGGTAGGCACCAAATTTTGAGACACTGTTTTCCCTACAGCTTTAGTCAGAGGCGACATTTACGTCTCATTATACAGAATGATAAAGGATTGTGTATGTAGAAAGCCCCCACTGGTTAATTCTCTCCACCAATCGGAGGCTCCCCCTAACAGTGAATTTGAGCTGGACAGTCAGTTGGCAGTCGATGTGTTGGACCAGTTAAGCCTGAAGCTGACTGCCTTAATATGAAGGCCGAAAAACTGACAGGTTGAGCACGGAAAAACACAAGTCTACCTAGATGTGAACACTTTAAAAGCTACCCAGTCTGGTTTGTGCTGGCCCAGATGTGAAACTGCCATAAGGCCGGTGTTTGTGCTGGCCCAGATGTGAAACTGCCATAAGGCCGGTGCTGCCCAGCAGTGGGGAGAGCATGTCTTTAAAGTGTTGCTTTAACCCAGCCACATCAGACATCAGGGTTACAGAGAGATGGTCACCACAAAGGCCTATGAAGTGTCCTGATCCAACTCATTTCTCTCAGGAACTGAACACACCAGAGATGATGACGTTGTATCCTTACAGGGTTTTAGGAGGTTGAGATAGTAGATTTGTGTGCCTCCACCCCTGTCGGACCACACCACCTTATTGTCCACTTCCCCTACTCATCATGTGCCCTCGAAGGGTCCTTGCAACTTGGAAAGCAATTTAGAACTGGAGGAAGGAAGCAATAGAAGAACATTGTCCCCTGGCTGAAATTGACACAGTCGGGTCCCTTTGTCGTGCAGCCACAGTTGATATTTATGTGACAGTTCCCCCAGTGTCCAGGACATATTTAATTTCATTCTTGCTATTACTAGACCCCTCCTACAAACTTCATTTAATCAGTTCCAGCATACCTCTCGGGGTCCTGACAAAAAGCAGCTCAAAGTGGGAAAATCCCATGGAGACTTAGGGGACCCCGTGGACTGCTAACAATAGGGGATCCAACCACTTATCTCAATGATGTTCATCCACGTGAAAACTTATGGATCATGGTTTCAACACCCTATTAAACCTCTCCACCAAACCATCTGTGTGAAGGTACTAGCTGCTGGCCTGCATGGCCGTGATACCCAGTAATGCATACAGCG